CTGGGGCTTTGGGAAGGAGGAACTGTTGTCCTTCCTTCCCTGCCTGCTGAGCTGGGACACTCTGGGTTACTTCTTACCTTCTGCAGGAAAACGTGCCAGGATTTCAGGGGCACCTACAGACTCATGTGGGGCCAGAGTGACTTTCTGCCAGCTTGGGGTGATCCCTCAGCAGTGTTCCTGTGAGGGGCACACCAGTTCTCTCACTGCACCCAAATTGTCCTGTCGTCTTGTTCTTCTTTTAGCAATGAAATAATTAAGGACATTCTGTTTTCTTTGGCTTCCAGATGAAGCTCCTGCTCCTTGCTGTGTGTGCCCTGCTCCCTGTGGCTCACTGTGAGGAAGGGGCCAGGCTCCTGGCCTCCAAATCACTCCTGAACAGATATGCAGTGGAGGGCAAGGACCTGACTCTGCAGTACAACATCTACAATGTTGGCTCCAGGTAAAATCCCCTCCAGGCTCCAGCATCAGGAGCAGATGTGGGGGTGTCTGGGACTTCCTGCGCTCCATGAGGAGCTTGGCTGCCCCCGCCCTGAGCTTGGCACAAGAGCTTGAAGCTTTGACTCTGTCCTTTGCATTTTTTTTCTTCTTCTGCTGTCCCCTCCTTTCCCCCCGTGGCTGCTCCAGGACCTGCAGCCCCTCTCGTGTCCCCTCACATTCCATCCCCTTCCCCTCAGCCTCCCTTTCCTGGCCGTCTCAGCTCTTTTCCCCCCTCTGCTTTCCTGCCCCTTTTCCAGTTCCTCTCAGCTTTGCCTTCCCCTTCCTGCTCCTTCCCTGTTGTTCCCCAGCACCATCCTGGACTGTCCCTGTCATCTCCTGCTGCCTTTTTACGTTTCAAAAAACAGTTCTTCCACCTGCTGTAGAACTTATGTTGCCTCCAGCATGACAAGGACATGGAGCTGCTGGAGAGAGGCCAGAGGAGGCCCCGGAGATGCTGGGAGGGCTGGAGCAGCTCTGGAACCAGGCTGGGAGAGTTGGGGTGTTGAGCCTAGAGAGGAGAAGGCTCCAGGGAGACCTTAGAGCAGCTTCCAGTGCCTGAAGGGGCTCCAGGAAAGCTGGGGAGGGACTTGGGCCAAGGGCAGGGAGGGATGGGATGAGGGGGAGGGATGAAAAGTGGGAGAGGGAGCTGGAGGTTGGAGCTGAGGAGGGAATTGTGGAGTGTGAGGGTGGGGAGAGCCTGGGCCAGGTTGCCCAGGGAAGCTGTGGCTGCCCCATCCCTGGGGGTGTTGAAGGGCAGGTTGGATGGGGCTTGGAGCAGCCTGGGCTGCTGGGAGGTGTCCCTGCCCATGGGGGGGTGGGACTGGATGGGCTTTATGTTCCCTTCCAACCCTCCCATGCCCATGAGCCTGCCTTGGAGCAGCCGCAG